GAAGTCCAGATAGATCACATCCATAGGTCATCCCTTATCTACTGACCAAGTCAATCTATAATAGAAGGCCACTAGGTTAGTCAGGCAGGACCTGCCCCTCGTAAAGCCATGTTGGGTGTCCTGGATCACCTCCCTGTCCTTCATGTGCCCAAGCATGGCATCTAGGAGGATCTGTTCCATGATCTTCCCAGGCACAGAGGTGAGGCTGACGGGTCGGACCAGGGTTCATCTGAGCCCTCATGTGCCCACGGACTGTGGGGAGCATCCCTGGGGCATGTCCAGCTGTGACCCTGCAGAAACAGCTGCCGACGTCAGGGGATGGGCCCAACTGGAGCTGCTGGGAACTGCTGGTGATCTCCAGCCTGGTGATGGTAGGGAGGAAGCTGCCAGCCCACGGGGACGTTCCTGACAGCACTGGAGCCCCAACTCCTCAGAGCTTACATTGGCAGGGTCCCGGGGGTTCCCAGTTCAGTCCAGCCACCAGTAAACAGGGCAGAGGAGACAGCAGGGTCCTGCTGTTCCAGTGGCTGGGGCTTTTTTCCTGCCCCACCCTGGGGGTGTTTCAGAGCTTCCCTTGAGAGTTGGGTCTTTGAGACCAAGGGCTCTGTCACGATGGGAGTTGGTGATGGTGGGGCTGGTGCAGAACAGGAGCCATCTGAAGAGACCATGCCATGGAGCTGCTGCCCGTGGGAATGGCAGGAGGGTGGTGGTGCAGCGCTTCCCAACGAGCAGTTGATGTGTCTTTTTAGTACTTGGTCTGCACTTGGTGCTTGTACAGAGACAATATTCTGGTATTTGGGACCAAAGGTGATGGAGTGAAGGAAGCGGGAATTCCTGGGGTACCAGCAGGTGTTTGTGCACAGCGTGTTCACCCCTTGGACAGAGAGAGTTTCAAAACTGGGAAATCTGCCCCGTGGGTGTCCTGGGGCTGAGCTGCTCCATTCCTGCACAGTTCAGAGATGGGCCACAGAGATGCTGGGAGGGTTGGAGTGCCCTCCAATGAGCACAGGCTGAGAGGGTTCAGCCTGGAGAAGAGAAGGCTCCAGGGAGACCTTGGAGCCCCTTCCAGTCCCTCAAGGGGCTCCAGGAGAGATGGGGAGGGACTCTGGATGAGGGAGGGGAGCCACAGGACAAGGGGGAAGGGTTTGACACTGAAAGAGGGGAGATGGAGCTGAGATGTGGGGAAGAACTTGTTTGGTGTGAGGGTGGTGAGAGCCTGGCCCAGGTTGCCCAGAGAAGCTGTGGCTGCCCCATCCCTGGAGGGGTTCAAGGCCAGGTTGGAGGGGGCTTGGAGCAACCTGGTCTGGTGGGAGGTGTCCCTGCCCCGGGCAGGGGGTGGCACTGGGTGGTCTTTAAGGTCCCTTCCAACCCCAAAGGTCCTACAGTTCTGTGATAGGGGAGGTCTTTCAGGAGTGGCCACCAGCACGGGTCTGGGGCTGCGAGGGGGAGGTGGCCCATCAGCCACGGGATGTTTGCTTGTCCTTGGCAGGAGGGGGGGCCCCATCACCTTCTCCTCCAGCCGATCCGGGAGGCGCCAACTGCACATCGAAGGGGCCTCCCTGGAGCTCTCGGACGATGACGCGGAGAGCAAAGGCAGCGACGTGAACGAAGCGCCGCCGGCGCCGGCCGAGTAGAGCCCCGTCCCAGCGAGTGCAGGCAGAGACCTCTGACAGTCGCCGGCAGGAGGAGGACTTTCCTGACCACCCAACTGCCTTGTGGCCCTCAACCTGCCTTACCCGACACCGGCACGCTACAAGGTTACGTATCATAGGTCTACTATGTCTTAAGGCTCTCCAGCCTCACCATTCTGTACCCTGCTTCAGATATAGGTACAACTGCTTTTTTTATATATAGTAAACGAAACGGGATCGTCTCTGTTCAGTGCATCTATTTTCCAGATACTCATTGTAAAGCCATTTTATAAACCATCATGTGAAGGATGAACCTTTTTTTTTTTTTTTTTTTTTTTTTTTTTTTTTTTCTTTTTTCTTTTTTCCTTTTATATCAGTACAGAAACTTCATTCCCAGGGGGCAGGTGGTTGGGACGAGCCCCGGTGTCAGGACTGTGCATGCTTCCTTGTACCACCAACACCCTCCCATTTCTCCTGTGGGTGACAGCCCTCGGCTGTTACTGAGGCTGTTGGATCATTGAAGACCAAACTGCACCTCCCTCCCTCCCTCCCTCCCTCTCTCTCTCTCATTCTCTCTCTTTTCTCCTCATTGCCGTGATCCGCACACAATCAGCGCGCCAACTGTGACAAGGCCTCGGGAAGTGTCAGAGGGAGGTGTTAGGGATGAATGAGCAGTGTCTGTTTTTGACCCACGGTATCATTTTGAAGTGTTCTCAGCACCCGCTTCCCCCGCTGAGTGCTCCTGCACCTCCCCTGTACAGCCCTGCCCCCGCGCAGACCCGCCGTGCCCAGCACAGCTCTGTACATAGTAAGGCTTAGAATAATGTGAAACACCAGTGGAAAATAAACATGCAACACAGGCAAAATTAATTTATTAATTTATGGCTGAGCGAGTTTCAGGCTTCAGGAGGTGGAGCCGAGCGGCCGCGCTGAGGGAGGAGGCTCCAGAGCCACCGGAGCAGCCCAACTGGTGTTCCCCGGGGAGCGGGGCCGGCGCGGAGCCTGCGGAGCCCGGGCTGAGCCGAGGAGTTAACATGCCAGTGGATGTGAATCCTTTTTTTTTGTTGTTGTTGTTGTTGGTATTTTTTTTTTTTTTTTTTTTTTTATTTTGAACAGTATTACAGGGAGTAGTTAGCATCCTTTTTTGTTGAAATAGCTGAAAAACTGACATTACAGAAAGTGCCTTAGACACTACAGTACTAAGACAATGTTACGTATATAATTTGCCTCTATAACGATGATTTAATGTATTAATTTTGACTGTGCTTCATATCATGTACCTCTCTAGTCCAAGTGGTATTATTGATATTAGTGACAATGAATCAGTGTTAATTAGGAAACTTCCTCTGCCACACGCTCAGAAAAACATGGATTTCCTTTTTTTTTTGGTTAAAAGCTTTAACATCTGTCGCAAAGGTTTTGTTGTGTGTGTTTGGATATTTTTAATCAAACTGGCTGTTGACCACCAGGCATCTGACTGCAAATATCTTGTTTTCTTGTATACCCATATTTCTAGACAATGATTTTTGTAAGACAATAAATTTATTCATTATAGATGCAGCCGCCTGCTCTGTTTACTTACAGGAAGAGCTGTCTCCTGAGGCTGGCATAGACCTTAATAAACGAGAGTATGACTGGATGCTGCCTTTTCCCTTCGTGCTGTTGTATTTTCTTGTATTTTGACCTAAATAGAACATAAATGGCCTGGTCCAGGGCTGAGCCTTTGAACTCTTCATGGTGACACGGAGCTGGAGCACGAAGGGCGCTCTGGCCCAGCCCCGGTTCTACCTTCAGTGGGGTCTGGGCTCTTTTCCAAGGGGTGAAATGTCCTGGCCCCGGGATCCTGCTCCCCCTCGAAGCGGGCTCTGGCGGCCGGAGGCGAGTGTGGGCTGAGGCCGAGGGCGGGGGAAGCTGCAGGCACCGACAGCTGGGGCTGAGCTCTGAAGGGGGTGGCTGTGGCCACAGCAGAAAGCGGGACCTACGTCCCCCCTGGGAGATGAGGGAGGAAGATGAAGGGCAGCTCCTGTTGAGGTTCCACTGCACGGGGCAGCAGGGAAGGGGCACTTACTGGAAGCCTGGTCCTGGAGCCCTGGTGTGTCCCAGGCACCTTTCCCCCAGGTGCCTCCTTCCAGGCTGTGGCTGCTGCTCCTCCTGCAGCTGGGAGAAGCGCAGGGGGTGAGGAGGGGCTTTTCCCAACCTCACAGGGCCTGTCCTGTCCCTGCAGAAGACCCAGGCTCTGGGCAAGAACAGCCTAAGACCTCAAAGGAGATGGAGGGGGCAGGAGGGGTGGCTGTGATGAGGGTGACCCTGCACCCCCAGGAAGGAGCTGGTGGCAGGTGGAGAGTGTGGCCTCCCCCTGCAGGGGACAGGGACTCGGGAAGGAGCTGGGAGTAGGTGAATTCCCAGCAGGGAGAGGGTCTGCTGCCAGGTCAGCAGCAGCACCCTGGGGTGGCCGTGAGGGGGGCAATGGGTGCTGGAGCCCCAGGGTGGGCTCCAGTGTGGTGTGTCAACAGCATCTGGGCTGGAGCTAAGCCCAGGGGCCAGGGACAGGCTGCACCACCTTTGGGTTGGGCAAAGTGTCACCATGGTGGCACAGCTGAGGGTGCTGCCACAGCCCCGTCAGCCCAAGGGAGGCAGCACCCTGGGGAATGGCCCCAACCCCTTGGGTCTGCAGAGCAAACATGGAATCATGGCATTGTCAGAGTTGGAAGGGACCTTCTAGAGACCATCCAGTCCAACCCCCCTGCCAAAGCAGGGCTGCCCAGAGCACATCACTCAGGAGCATCCAGGTGGGGCTTGAAGATCTCCAGAGAAGGGACTCCATGACCTCCCTGGGCAGCCTCTGCCAGGGCTCTGCCACCCTCACCCCAAAGAAGTTCTTCCTCACATTGGAGTGGAACTTCCCATGGTCCAGCTTGTGCCCGTTGCCCCTCGTCCTGTCACTGGGAACCACTGGAAAGAGTCCGGCTCCATCTTCCCCCCCCCCCCCCCCCCCCCCCCCCCGCTTTAGATAAGGTCTCCCCTCAGCCTTCTCTCCTCCAGGCTAACGAGCCCCACCAGCCCTCTCAGCCTTTCCTCATCAGGGAGATGCTCCAATCAACCTCTCAGCGATTCCAAGGAGGCAAAATTCCCTGGCGGCTGGAGCTTCCAACCCTGCCCCAGGAGCTTCCCAAAACCCAATCCCAGCCGAGCCGCCGGGAGCGGAGGCTGCAGCGAGGAGAAGGGGTTTGTCAGCCCCGGCTCCAGCAGCAGCTCCCAGGGATGTGGGGCAGGAGCAGCGGTGCCCTCCCCACCCAGTGCTGGGGCTCGGCCAAAACCACCCCCCAAACAAAATGCACCCACTGCCAACATTTCTGCAAAATCCACCAATTACACATTAAAAGAACTTTATTTTTGGAAGATTACTCTCAGTTGGTTTTTGTCATTTCTAACCCACATCATGATGTGTGTCACCGCGGGGCGGGGGGGGAATAGGTCACTGTCCTATTGAAACATGCCATAGAGAGGCTGAATAAATAAAGCTACAAAGCCCAAGTTATGTACAAAGATCTTAGGCAAAGATATTATGTTTACAAACCTATGTACAATAAAACAAATGTAAACAGTCAAATGCAGCAGAGGATGCACAGGAAAGGACCAGAGGAGCCCAAACAGCAAAGGGGGGGGTGGGGACACATCATCCCCCCCCACTGCTGCTGGGGCCAAGGGGTTTTTTTTCTCAGCGCTTGTAAATAAACCAACTGGGAGCTGCGGAGCCAAGTGAAGGTGATGGACCTGACCAGGAACGAAGGTTTCTAAACCCACAGATCAAACCCCAGCTGGGTTTGCTGGTTCACATTTAAAAATCCACCGACTCTGAGGCACATAGACAGAGAAATCGCACAAATACGTCGCTTGAAAGACCCACAAGGTACACGGTCGCCCAAAACTGTCACAGAAGCCCGTAGTGACGCTGTAAGATCCAGTCCTACGTTACACAGATGGGAACGGGGGGTGATGGTGACAGGGTCCTGGGAGGGGGGTTCCACGGGCAGCGTGGGCGGTTGGATGAGTGGCTTCTTAACGCTCCCACCGGCTCCCTGGGGTGGAGGCGCAGGGGGGCGGGTGGAGCTGGGCCAAGAAGCTGAGCTAAAGCCCCCAGGACCCCCTGAGCCCACCCCAGCAGCTCCAGGCGTCACTGCCCTGCAGCTCCAGGGGGCAGGAGGGAGGACACACCAGCCCTGCCAGCTCACGCTAAGGCATGTGATGTTGTGACCGAGGCGTGAGGGTCCCCTCCAGCGCGCTGCCACCAGCAGCTCCAGCCCTCCCTGGCCCCCGAGGAGCCCAGCAGGGATGGCTCATGGTCCCCTCTGCCTGCGGGAGCTGGGGGACACACGCATCCTGCCCTGCCAGCTCCAACCAGACACACACCAGCAGCAACAGCCGCCCCCCTGCCCGGCAGCACCTGCTGAGGCTGCAGGAACGGAGTCACTCCCCTGGACCCGACTCCAGGCACGAGTGTCCAAACGGCATCGCGCAGCCTCACCCAGGACCCCCTTCTGGAGGTCAGAGCCTTCCTGGGAGAAGAGCAGCCCCGTGGCCGAAGGGGCTGGAGCAGGCAGGGAGAAGAAGAGCAGCCAGTGTCTGTGTCACACCAAACCCAAGGGAGGGATAAAGGGGCTGAGGCCCACCCCTGGCCAAGGTCTGGCAGGACTCCTGCAGCCCCCAGCACGGAGCGCTGCGTCTCGGCCCGCGCCGCACGGGGCCAAGTCAGAGGAGGCTGAGGACAGCAAGAGGAGAAAACAACTGTATTGACAGGGCATGAAGGGCCGTGGGCGCAGGGTCTCCTCGGGCAGCACAGTGCAGGTCGTGTTCCAGCAGGGTGGGAACAGGGAGGAACGGGGAGCAGTTCTTCTCCTGGTGGGCTGAGAGAAGCATCCACGAGTCCGAACACGACCTCCCACAGGCTCATATGCTGAGGGGGAGCATGCCAGGCGCTGAGGATGGTCGAGAGGCTCCCAGTCCGGGGGGACCTTGATCAAAGCCGTTTACTGCCCTGAAAGAAACAAGAGACAGGCCATTAAGTGACAAGCATCCCCAGGAGATGGCACCGCTCACCTGTCCCCACCACCAGCAGCTGGAAGACAGACCAGACCCCTCTCTCTCCTCGCTGCATCATCCCTCACCCTGACTGTATGGTGGCCAACCTACAACCGCGACAGAGCTCCCCCCTCCAGCCCAGGGGCTCAGCGCCCACCCCCAGCCAGGGACAGGCACAAGTGGGTGATCATCCCATTGCCCAGGGCAGGCATGTGCTGGCCAAGGTGACCAGCCCAGGAACACAAAGGGCTCCTGCGCAGACCCAAAGCCCAAGGGGGCTACGCCATGGGGTCTGTGCAGCTGAAGGTGCCAGGTACAGCAGCGCTGCCGGCGCGGTCCCCAGCATCAGCTCCCTTCCCACTAAACCACAGAATCACAGAATGGTTTGAGTTGGGAGGGACCTTAAAGCCCACCCAGTGCCACCCCCTGCCCTGGGCAGGGACACCTCCCACCACACCAGGTTGCTCCAAGCCCCCTCCAACCTGGCCTTGAACCCCTCCAGGGATGGGGCAGCCACAGCTTCTCTGGGCAACCTGGGCCAGGCTCTCACCACCCTCACACCAAACAAGTTCTTCCTCAGATCTCATCTCAATCTCCCCTCTTTCAGTTTAAAGCTGTTCCCCCTCATCCTATGGCTCCCCTCCCTGATCCAGAGTCCCTCCCCATCTCTCCTGGAGCTCCTTTAGGGACTGGAAGGGGCTCTAAGGTCTCCCCAGAGCCTTCTCTTCATCTCCAGGGGCCATTACAGCTGTCTCCAATACAAGCTCTGCCCAGTATCTGGGATGGATACACACACAGCACAATGGCACACAGGCTCTGTGACAGCACATGGTAAAGCTCAGCAGAGCTGCTCGATGCTACGGTACCCCCAGCTGAGGGGCAGCGGGGGCTCCGGATGCCTCCACACCCCCAGCATCCGTGGGTTCCCTTCTTCCCAAGGCTGCTGGGAGAGGTGGAGGCATGGAGAACCTGGCTTCCCAGTGGGCTGGGAAAGGAGCATGTGGGTCTGACAGCTTTTCCATCTCTGCTGTGTTATGGCTTTGACAGCTCTTCTGTAATTAGGCTCAACACAGAGCGTTTGCCCAGCCTCACCACCTGCTGGTCACCATCACCCCAGCCTTGTAAACCAGAAGCAATAACATCCCTGTGTCAGCACAGCACGTCCAGCCCCACTGCTGTCCTCCCTGCCCCCTGCTCTCACGGCTGGGTCTGTAATCCTGAAGGTGGGGGGAGACCAGCCCCCCAGTCCCTGCAAGGCAGGGCAGGTCCTTGTCTCCACGTCTGCCTGCTCCCCAGAAGTGCCACCAGCACCCCAGAACCCACCGTTCACACCTCTCCTGGCAGAAGGGACATGCCAGGAGATGGCCTTTGCTGCTCAGAGCAGTGAGGCGCAGGGAGCAAAGGCAAGAAGGGCGAGGGCTCTGCTGATGAGGAAAAAAGCCACCCCAGGACCTGGTGGCTCTGCAGGAGCAAGTCCCACTGACTGGTGTCACCGCCTGAGGGACCGTGGCTGCCGGCAGCGTCCCCAGGACACAGCAGTGCTGTCTCCACACTCCCCATCCCACAGCACATCCTTCCTGCCTCTGTTCCCTGCTGAGCCTGCAGCTCCCGCACCAGGGCTGCAAACACCCCTCCAGCAAACCCAGGCGGCTGCTGCTGTTGCTCTGGGCACTCACAAAACGCTCCAGAAGAGCAGATGAAGAGCTAAAATCTCAAGGCTTACTAGCAAGGACGGATTCCCATGGCAACACAGTTCAATTCCGTAGGGAGCCGGCTGTTTCCTTCCCCTCTGTGGCTGTTAAACATCCCCACTAGCACAGCCTGGGGCAGAGCAGGGAAAAACCACCTTTCCCACCTCCTCCCATTGAGCTGGAAGCTTAAACTCCCAGTTGAGTGTGTCCCCCCAGCTGCACACAATAAAAATCTGCTGGAAGAGGCTTAAGGGCAGATGCATTTCGTTATTGACGTTGGGAGGAAGGGGCATGAAGCCAACCTGATCCCGACATGACTGCACAAGAGTTACCAGCTACAAAGCACCTCTGCCAAGTGGGACAGGGGAAAAAAAAAAAAAAACAACCAAACAAAAAGACCAAACAGGATTAAAACATGGTGGTTTGCTTCCTTTTGAAAAGGTCAGAGAAAGGCGCCGCTCAGCACCAGCAGCCTGGGAGCGCTCGTGTTTGACGAGTCACCTTAAAGCCAAGTCCTATGGATCCATCCCCTGCCCTGCACGGCACCCGGAGCTGCTCTCTGGGACACACACTGTGGGACGGCACCAGCCCCTGCAGGACGTGGCCTGGCTGATGGCAGTGTCACAGGCCAGCCCTGTGGCTTGGCTGAACCAGCACCAGTCCTCACTGGGACCTCCTGGCAGTGCCACCTCCAGCACAGCATGGCAGGATGGGCAGGTTGGGGAGGACAACTGGTCCCTTTTGAGCCCGTAGCAAGTGCCATCGCCCCCCTCGCAGCCCATCCTTGCAACCCCGTGGCTCTAAAAGAGGCTGGGCAGCAGCAGCCCCCCTCAAACCTTGGCACATCATCCCCCTCTGAACCGAGACACTGCTCCCCCCCGATACCAGGCACCCCCCCGCCTCCAATCCCCCTGGTGAGAGGTATTTAAATCAAAACCCAACGCGTGGCGTTCGCATATGGTGCTACACCAGGCACGGGCCAAATTGAGTGGTACAAAACTTCTCAAATATTGCTATTTCTGGGGAACCAACTGCTCCCAAACTGGGTTTCCAGCACCCAGTGGGGAGAACACCCTCCCTGCAGCCGCCACCATCCGACGGACCCGCCTCTGCAGGAGTTTCTTCTTCTTTTAAATGAAGCACCACACGTTTAACCCTCCTCAGCTCCTGCTCAGAGGTGCATTTAGCACTTGGGTGCCCTTTTCCATCTCCCAGAGGGACAGGAAACACGTTAGGAAGCCACACAGCTCAGCACAGATGCCATAGGGACATGACAGGACTCTGCCTAAACCCCCACCCCCGGTGTTGGAAATCATCCAGCGAAGCCCAGGACAAGAAGGGAGACCAAGGAGAGGAGGGCTCCAAGCGTGAAGGGTTATGTGTTAACCAGCCCCAGCCCGGGAGCGCTCACAGCACTACAATGCACAAGGGAGACACCAGCAGGCTTTCTGCTCAAGATGGAAAAGATAAAAACCCCATTTAGAAGGTTTTTGAGGTTTCCCCATTGTTTGAGCAGGAAGGCAGCGTGGAGCAGCCTCTCCCAGGACCAGCCCCTGGGGTCAGTTCCCTGCGCTGTGGATCCCATCCTGCCGGCCCAAACCTGCCCTCGCTGCAGGAACAGAGAGAGCGCAGCGGCTTTGATTTGTGGTTCGGTTTAAGTGGGGCACAGGAAAAGGCATCACACAGGAGCAGCGACTTGGGGGGATACCAAAAGCTGGCACCATGGCTGAGCTTACCGAGGGCTTACTCAGATTTCTGCTAGTAACAGGAAAACGCACAAAAAAGGGGAAAGAAATCAGCATTACTGCAGTTCGAAACAGACTTAAAGGAAAATGAAATACATTAAGCCAAGCAACTGTAAAAAACAACAAAGAAAACAAGCTGGACAAGTCCTGCCTAACCTCCCAGGAGCCAGCTGGGAAGAGAAGTCCTTGTGCCAAGGTCCCCAAGGTCTCAGACAGCACCGGGAGGAGCAGACACATCGCTCCGACCTGGCACAGGCACGGAGCTGGCACTGCCCAACAGTCCCAAAACCTGCTCACAGGGATGAATCCCGGCCGGATCACTCGCCTCCTGCTTCTGCCTTGTCTCCCTGTCCCTCGGACCCGACATGCTCCGTGGCTCTGGCCTTCCTGAGAAACTGGGCTCCAAACGAAGCCAAAATCACCAGTCCCTGCTGGAAACGTCCCCTGCAGTGGTTTCTGCTGGGTGTTTCTCCCTGCCTGTTCCTGCGGTGGTGGCTCTCTCTGCCCTGTGATTGCTAAAGATAGGCTTTTTATTCTTTTTTTTTTAATCATTAATCTTTATTTCAAGCTGTATTTTGTACTTAGCACCTTATCTCCAAGATCTCTCAACTCTGTGTATCCAACAAAACCTCAAAAGATTGTCCTGCAGCTGAACAGCCCAGCCTGAAGATGCGGTTAAAGCCCCACAAGAAAACAGGAGGAGAAGTGAGTTTCCAGGCAGGTCAGTGCTTTAAAACACAGCACTGATCTCCCAAGCAGCAGTGACAGCACAAGGAGGGAGAGGAGCACCCAGCACGGAGATGTAGAGAGGAGAATGGGAACACGGCTGTGGCAGATCTGGATGGTAGGGACCTGCACTTTTTGACAGCGTGGGGAACCCTCCCTGCTCTCTCTCTCGAGGCAGATCAGCAAGATGAGTCACAGAATCATAGAATTGTCCAGGTTGGAAGGGACCTTTCAGATCATCGAGTCCAACCATCAACCTAACTCTGACAGAAAACCATCACTAAACCATGTCTCTAAGCACTATGTCAACCCGGCTTTTCAATCCCTCCAGGGATGGTGTCTCAACCCCTTCCCTGGGCAGCCCATTCCAAGGCTCAATAACCCTTTCAGTGTAAACAATTCTCCTAATTTCCATCCTAAACCTCCCCTGGTGCAACTTGAGGTCATTTCCTCTTGTCCCATCGCCTGTCCCTTGGGAGAAGGGCCCGACCCCCCCTGGCTACACCCTCCTTTCAGGGAGTTGGAGAGAGCGAGAAGGTCTCCCCTCAGCCTCCTCTTCTCCAGGCTGAACACCCCCAGCTCCCTCAGCCTCTCCTCACAAGACTTGTGCTCCAGACCCCTCACCAGCTCCATTGACCTTCTCTAGACCCGCTCCAGCACCTTAATGTCTGTCCTGGCATGAGCAGCCCAAAACTGGACCCATCCCTCGAGGTGGGGCCTCACCAGTGCCCAGTACAAAGGGACAGTCACTGCCCCAGTCTTACTGGCCACGCTATTGCTCCTACTGGCCAGGATGCTGGTGGCCTTCTTGGCCACCTGGGCACACTGCTGGCTCATGTTCAGCCGACAGGCGACCAACACCCCCAGGTCCTTTTCTGCCAGGCAGCTCCAGCCACTCTGCCCCAGCCTTGAGCATCCATGGGGCTGGTGTGACCCAAGGGCAGGACCCATCCCATTGGCCTCAACCCATCAATCCAGCCTGTCCAGATTACTCTGTAAAGCCTTTCTGCCCTCCAGCAGGTTGACACTCCCACCTAACTTGGTGTTTTTCTGTGAACTTACTGAGGGTGCACTTGATCCCCTCACCCAGACCATTGATAAAGATATTAAAGAGGACTGGCCCCAATACCAAGCCCTGGGGACACCTCTCGTGACCGGCAACCAACTGGATTTGACTCCATTCACCACCACTCTCTGGGCCCAGCCTCCAGCCAAATTTTTACCCAGTGAAGACACCTCTTGTCCACACCATGGGCAGCCAGTTTCTCCAGGAGAACACTGTAAGTCCAAGCCTTAGTGACAGTGGGCTGTTGCCTCCACTGAGCCCCAGTGCCACAGGATTCCCTCCCGTAGAGCCCATGGCCCCGGTGCCTGTGCAGCCTTGCTGGGACCACCGTGCCACCACCAGGGACGGTGACATCAAGCAGGAACACCGTTGCCTCCAGCCAGGTGCTTCTGACCACCTCCTGCTCTGTCACCCTGGCCTGCCCCCAACACATCTATGCCTTTGTTCACCTTCCCATTAGCCAGAACCACGGCAGCCGAGCATCGGCAAGTGACAGCCAAAAGACATTGAGGGAAAAACTCCACCAAAGGGCAAATCAACTTTCAAAATCAACTAAATTAACAGCAGCGATACTTCACCCCATATCCCTGATGTGACAGATTCAATCAGAAACATGCATGTTTTTGAAGAAATATTAATTAGACCAAGAAAGGAAGCAGCTTATGGTTGCAACAGGTCACAGCACCAGAAAAGTTTATCTAAAGTAAGGAGGAAGAGAGAGATCACAGCCTCAGGCTTTGATCAGGGACTATTAGCTGGTAAGGCTAAGAGAACGACCTCATGCAGTTAGTACAACCATCAGCTCTGCACCTCCAAGCACCACGTTACAACACATGCAGCTTATCATTGCAAATGAATTCATTTACCCATGACCAAGGTGGGGAATATGACCTTTTCACGCCTAGTGGAGAAAAATGGAAACAGGTTATGCACACAATACAGACATCCTTGGGCATAACCTTGGACACAAGAAATGGGGCAAAGCAAAGGTGTTAAATTAAACCTGACCAGACCTCTGCATAACGAGCCCTCCGCCTGCCAGGGCCAGGGGAGGACTCCTGTTTCAGTGACAACCAGTGCTCCCAGCACACCCCACTGCTGCAAGTGCAACCCAGAGAGAAGCCCAAAGTATCGCAAAGCACATTGCAGCACTCACCTGCTGGATTACTCACCTGCATCTGAGTTACCCACAGTTCCCTCTTTTCCAGGGAAACTTTTTGAAAAGGTGGATTAGGGAACAGAAAGCCGACCCTGATTTCCCAGCCTGATGGGTTCTGACCAGGGTTGTGGATAACGGTGTCCACAGTGTAAATACACTACATGCTTCACAGGACTGCTACAAGTGTGCAACCAGATGCACTTCTCACAGTTGAACTTTAGCTTTTTTCATTAAAACAAAGCCCAACAGATTCAGAAAAAAAAAAAAAATAATCTAAGAATAAACATCAACTACAAGGACTTTGACATTGAAGGGTGAAGGGAGGGGAGCAGTGAAGGAGTTCATGCTCCAAGAAGCAGACACCCAGCACTGGCTCCTGTGCTGTCTCAGCTCTGCCCTCCCACTGCCAGGCCTCTGCAGAGCCCAGGAAGGTCAGAGCCATTTTGTTCCCCATCTGGATTGAAGGTAATAACCAATTAAGAACATTTACAACAGCAAGAGACAAGCATCCATCTGAGAACATCCTCAGGTGCTGTTCTGTCATGCCCTGGCATCTGGACAGAAACAGCACGTTCCTGAAGGAACAAGTCTGCAGGGAACTAATCTTATAGAGACTTTGTTGAGCTTTAAAAAGAAGGGGAAAAAAAAAAAAAAAGAATAGTAGGTAAATCCTGACTCTTCTAATCCTCCAGCAAAGTTTTGGTGCAAGCCCAGCTGCCCCCCAGGCTGCCCCTAATGTGATGGTCCCCTGTGCCATCTCCTGCCAGTCACTGCCTTCAGCTGCCTGCTCAGCTCTGCTCCGTGAGCAAGGAGCCTCTGTGTGAAGGGAGATGGAGACTCATCAAACGTTTTAACAAAATGGCAGAGGAAGGAAAGTAAATGGAACTGTAAGGATGTGGCTGAGTTACCTCTGTCCCCGTCCCACCACCCAACAACCAGGCTGCTCTTTAGGCAGCGGCTGCAGCGGGGACGGGATCTACAATCACATGTGGGTGTTTCAGGCACAGCAACAACTTGGGGCAGAGAGGAGAGTACAGGGGCTGGAGAGAGAGAAGGAGAGGGAAAAAGAAAGGGCAAGCCTCAGCTCAGCCCCTCGTGCCCATTCTCTGGATCCAATGCCTGTCAACATGAGCCAGCTCAGCTGGGAGCTCGGCTACTCGACCTCATTTTAGGTAACAGCTCAGTTTGGCTTCTGTGTGCAGGTTTTACACAGCAGCCATGGAGACGTGTACAAAACAGAGACACTGCCATCACCCTCAGCGTGCACAGGCCTCAACGGGGGCAGCAAAGCAGAGGGGGGGCCACACAAGGGAGAGGTGAGCAGCATTTGGGGGTGCAGAGGAGAGGGACAGGACAGCAGGACCACGCAGGGATCTCTAGCAACTTGCAGATAAGCCCATCAGCTATTCCCACGCCCTTTTCTAGCCCACTAACATCCTCCAAGTCTGCTGCAGAAGTTATCTTTCAGGAGGCCAAGTTTCTGAGCCTTTTCCAGCTACAACCTGCTTCGAACTGCAGGCAGCCACCCCAGATAACAAGTGTGATGACAATCTGGATAATTAGAAGTGACCCCCACATAGCAATCAGCTTACTCGTCACACCACAACTCAATATAGCCCTGCTGCCTCCTAAGATCAGCTCTAATCCCTCCCTAGCAACTGCCCTGACAGCTTGTACCCGAACCGTGGCCTGTGCCCTGTGAGTGTGACCACGCTGTGGTGCTGCACAGACCCCAGCCAGCCCCCCAGAGCAGAGACAACCCCACCTGCACATGGCACTGACGTCGTTAAGCCTCCCAACTCTTCCTTTCCAAAAGCAGCAAACAACTGCAGCGGCCCTAAAAAACCCCAAATGCCAGTTTCTAAGATGCAACTTGCCTGGCTACCCACGCAGCAACACGATTCAGCTCAAACAAGGATGACTGTAGGAAGCTCAGTTTGTCTGCTCTCTGTATGGTGCTCTTTAGGTTGGTAACAGCTCATTTATTTCTCTAAAATAAATTCTGTAGAGGATGTGCTGAGTATTAGCATTCAATTGCACTGGCTTGAGGTTTAGCATGGAAGACCACCACCGTGCAGAGAGCATGGAGGGTGTTTTGCCCAGTGACACGAAGCACAGCTCACAATACCAGTGCTGACACCGGAGGAGCGCTGTGCTCTACACCCTACTCCTCAGGGCTTCTTGGACAACCACAGGGCCCTGCTCTTCCAGGGACTGTGGGGAAAATCCTCCTGCTGAACCACTTCCCAGTACCCCAGAGGAAGCTCTGACCACAGGCGAGTCACAGGAAACACATGGGATAGTTTTTCCTGTGAAAGCAGTTTTTTGGGTTCAGGGCTGACGCAAGGCCAGCACGGAGGCAGCTGCCCTCCTCAATCAGCCAGAATTACACCATTGATGATGTTTTCTCTTCCCCTAATAGAGGGGGAAGTAGAGCAAACAGGGCACCACCCTCCAAGTGAGCATTTGCTGCCTGCCCTCAGCTGTTCTCACCGAGGGAATCTCCAGATTTGCAGTTAATGCACTTCCCCACGCACGAGCGCACCGGTAGCCATGGAAACTCCATCACTACTCACTTGAGATCCTTTCAAAAGGACACGTTCACTTCACTCCCGGGTTTGCTGCCTGGGGTTTGTGCATTCCTGAGCTGCAGCCACCAAGACATCAGGCAGCAAAGAGCCAGGACAGGCACTGACAACCTACCAGCTAAGGGACAACACGCTCTCTTTTCTCTTCGCTTCACAGAAATCACTGTCACCTTTCCCCATCCCCTTGAGACTTTGGCTCCACAAACTATTTGTCCTATCAAATGAAAGCTGGGGTGGGCTAAAGACAAGCCAAGAAAGACTTCTGCTCCGAGTAGCATCCTGAAATGCATTCCCCTTTAGGGCAAAAATATAGCCTTACTTACCCTTTGTCGAAGAAAGAAGTATGGGCCGGATGAGGGTACTTTGTGCCATTGCTGTTCATTATCCCGCTGTTAACGTTCCCTGAAATGTAGGATTTCCGTGATGCCTGGTCCTTTGCAAAATTTCTGCAAGCAGCTAATTTGGATTCTAAGGCCTGTGAAAGGGGGAATAAAAAAAAAATAAAAAAAATTAAATAAGTAATATCATTAAGAGAAAGCATGCTCGAGTTCAGGCTCTGTCATGACGGCAAGATTATGATCATAACTCCAGTGTGATCACCTTTGGCAAAAAACCAGAACTAACTGGGAACAAAGCTGTCCATTTTCTCTGTCAAGCTGTCCATCTTCTCTGTCACCCAACCATAAAAGAAAGCCACACGACATGCTGATGCAGACTGCCAGGTGTAACTCGGTTCCATCAGCACTCAAATTTTAGACCGTATCAGCTCTTGATTAATTACCTAAAATAAGGAAGCCAACACCTAGCAGAAGTTACCAAAACATCTTACTTCAGCAGCTGCAGTAAGACCAACAAAAGCCAATCAGATTAAGACAGAGCCTAAAGCAGAATCCTCAAGTTGAGGGAGGGGCTGTGTATTTGGAAAGTTGATTAATTTTTTTCCCCCAGGACAATGCCTTCAGTGTTTCTTTCCTAATCTTGGCCTGCAGAACAAAGCCAGTTTCTTAAGCCTCACTGATATGCTTCAGAACAAGAGGTGCTACGGATTTTTTTCCCCCAGGACAATGCCTTCAGTGTTTCTTTCCTAATCTTGGCCTGCAGAACAAAGCCAGTTTCTTAAGCCTCACTGATATGCTTCAGAACATGTGGCCGTAGCACCTCCACAGCATCAGGAGGAGGAATCAAAGGCAGCAGCTAAGCCCACCTCACCTTCACTACTGCCAAGCAAGCCTGGTGAGATCTTCTCCCCCTACACAAGGTGAGTCTTTGGCTCATCCACTGACTGCTGGCAGGAGGGACACCAAAATCCCGATTCTCTGCTTCACTTCAGAACATCACCCCTGCCCTTTCTGCCATCGGTCACAAACTGAGGCATAACTTGAATATCAATTTGGTCAAGCAGAAAGACCCTGCAACCATTTGTTGCACCCAACCCGTGCACGGGGGCACCAGCCGCTGTATGCACTGGGAGAGAAACTCACCTCCCCAAGCGTGGGGTTTGGTGCCATTCCACTCAGAAAAATATTTCATTAACAAGGCACTGACAAGGTATCATAAGTAAGTGAACACTATACAGTCGTCTTCTAGAAATCCACGTAAGCTTACAGGCAGAGACAGGTAATTACCTCCCTCTCGGTCTCAAAGCACCCATCAGCTGGACACAGCCCACGGGATCTGAGCCAAGTGACTCCTCATCTCAGCCACAAGCAAGAAAGCTGAGGGGAAACTTCTAGCAGAGAAAGGGAGTCTAAGGCTTGGGATGAGGCAGCCTACGAGTAGCCCAAGCCAAAGAAATCCTGAACATCCTATAATTGTTACTAAACAAAACCAGGAGCTGGAATTTTGTAGCACTGGCAGAGCAGTGGCTAAGAGCAGGCTGGGAGGGAAGCACGCTTATTTGGCATTTCCTGTCCTTGCAGAGTAATCACACAGGATTGTGATTAAGCTCCCTAAATCCCCTGCAGACTCTTACTCACAATGATCCCATTTCAAACATGTCGCTCCGTAACCCCAAGTCATCCTGCTGCCCTTTCAAACCAACTACGAGCTCACTGGCTCCAAATGTGACCAACGAGGTAATTTTTAATTTCAAACTTAGCTAAAACAACTGTCTCTGCTGCAGCTATTGCCAGTGTCAGTGTCAGACACCAGAGACTGAAGAAAGGCAGCACCAGAGGCAAGACACCAAGGTTATCCATGCTTCTACTCAGAACACTAACCACTGAGACATGTCAACAAGCTTCTCAGAACTCAAAAGTCTTGTCTTCATTCAGCTGGAAAGCCCAGCATCCTAAACAACACTGTGACAGATGCTTAAACCACTTCTTCCCTGCTTATGGTGGTAATCCCTTTAAAGACTCACGCATTTCACTTCCCCGTTAACAACTACAGATGGGAACATTTGGCTTTCTCCTGATTTATTTTCTCACTTTCTGATCAAAGGTTTCTAGATACATTTTTTCCTCCCCCTCTCATTTTCAGCACCTGTTGCAGATCTCCTCAGGCAGCAAGAGGAGATGCTGGCAGTGTCCCCTCCCGTGACACACAGTAACCCTGCAGCACCCCAAGGCCCACGTCTGTGCCTCAGTCTCACTCCCGAGGAAGCCACAGGCCCCATCTGAAGTCAGGACAAGTGGCCGATGGTGTCTAACTCCAAATACCAAAGCGCTTGAGAAAACTCTTTCCTCCAAATATGAATTTCATCACCCAAAGCTGGCAGCAGAACCTTAGTGACGTGCTTTATAAATCAAGATAATTAGACAAAAAAAATATACACGACGGCACACTGCGCTCAGCACGGGCTGAGGCCTCGTGGTGATGAAGGCAGGGATGAAGGCTCAGTGAGAGCAGCACAGAGCCAGGAACACGTCAGCTCAGAGCACTCACCCCCACTTTCCGTAAGAGATCTCCCACGATGTTGAGCGCCGATATTCGAGCTGAAGGAGTCAGGGGGCTGGTACCCAACCCGTTTGGTATAGCTGCAAACACAGACACTTGGTATTAGACAGTCCACTCCTCCCCAACCCATTCCCTTTTTTAATTTAAATATATCAGCTTCTACATAAAAAGGTAAATCTAAAATCCTGCTACAGACTCTTCATACAATAACACACAGACTTAGACGATCACTAGCCATAGGGAAACAAAAAAGCTTAATTCCTGCCCACTGCCCTCTTGCCCACCACCCCCACATGCAGAGTTCACGCACTCTCCATCTGCAAGGCTATTGCCCACAATCCACCTAATCCAGCCAGAGCCTCCTCTGGAATCTACTCTAATTTGAAAAATAACGTATTAATCCTTGTGATTGTCCGGAGCCTTCCAGATGGGGAAAGGGACCTGACTAACATCCTGCTGCCTCGCAGAGAAAACAGAACCCCTGGAAAGTACGTGTGGTAACAGAAACAGTCTAGATTGTTGGAATTACTGCCCACCCTTCACCCACCACTATTTTTCTCTATATTTAAGCGGAAATATCTGTCACTGCAATTCCAAATGTCTTCAGTGCAGGTATCTACCTCAGAGTGCAAATGCCCACCCCCCTAAAAGCAGTATCTAAGCTTCACTGTCCTTTTCCACGCCATTTACTCATTATACTACTTAAATGTACCTGACCCTTAAATGTACCCCCGGACTTAGAGACACCTTACACATTGCATGTGGGATCCACAGCTACCCACATTTATTTCAAGTTCACTAACAAGCACCTGGTCTGAAATTAGTTGTGAAGAAGCTAGACACACCGCTCAAGAACCAGACACGGTTTCTCTGAATTGTACCTTTTGGGGAAGGAAAACTATTTTCTAATCCTTTTCCAACGGGTGTAGCTGGCAAGGAGAGCGATGCCTGGACAGCTGAATCCATCTTCTCACAGTCCAGAGTTGGAGAACTGGGTGCTGACTTTCGGGTCACTTCTTGTTGCCTCTCCCGTACCGCTAGCTCTTGTCGTAAGTCTGAGGGTTGAGAGAAGAAAAAACCACACATATTGGTGACCATATTCTCAAACAAACACACTCTCTATTTACAGAATCACAGGATGATATGGAGTTGGAAGAGATCTCTGGAGATCAACTAGTCCAACTCCCCTCCCAAAGCAGGTCCACCCAAAGCAGGTCCCACAGGAACGTGTCCAGGTGGGTTTTGAACGTCTCCAGAGAAAGGAGACTCCACCACCTCTCTGGGCAGCCTCTGCCAGGGCTCTGCCACCCTCAAAGTGAAGAAGTTCCTCCTCAGGTTTAGATGGAACTTCTTATGTACAAATTTGTACCCATTTCCTCTTGTCCTGTCCCGGGACACCACTGAAAAAAACCTGGCCCCATCCTCCTGACACCCACCCTTGAAATATTTATAGGCGTCGATCAGATCCCCCCTCAGCCTTCTCCTCTCCAGACTAAAAAGACTCAAGTCCCTCAGCCTTTCCTGGTAAGGAAGATGCTCCAGGCCCTTCATCATCTTTGTGGTCCTCTGCTGTACCCTCTCCAGCAGTTCCCATTTATTTGGAAGGCAGCAGGAGGAGATGCTTTGGCACAACTCGATTAATTGCCTGCTGCTGGCTCTCTCCAGCAGTGAGGACCCCCACCTCGGAGCAGTCACAGCCCAACACCATCACCTCCCGTTACAGCGGGGGCAGAGAGGCAGCAAACAGAGCCCCCCCAGTCCAGAGCACTGCGTGGCCCCAGCAAGGACGGTGACTTACACCACAGATGGGGAAAAAATACTGAGGCTGAGCCCCACAGAAAGTGTGTTGCAAAACCTGCAGCTGGACACAAGGGCCTGCTGAACCACCTTCAGGTCCTGCTCAAATAGAGGTTGGAAAAAGGGAAGAATAACCTATTCTCATGTTTCCAATTCCCCACATTATTCTTCCAGTTAATAATCCACAGGACTCCACGCCAGCCAAAGACAGGCACAGTTTCTCGATGCCTCGACAAGTGAAAGAGCAGAGTGGAGGGGCCAGGGAGTCCCAGCCACAGGGAAAGAGACTTGAGATTAAGAAACTTCTGTTTTATTCCCACTTCCCCTCTAGACTCCACTTACCCCTCTCATTTCCACACACACTTGCTAAAAAGGGCACCCAGCACAGTTCAACAATAAAGCTATAAAATCCTTAGAAAGAACTAGATGCAAAGAAACTATACATTACAGGGGGGTTGTTCCTTTTTGGGTAGAACAACTTAATCTTTACAGCCCTCTTATTCCTCGTCTCAATCTGGTATAACGTGCAAGAAAAAATTAGTTGTACATGATGGCTTTTAAGTTATCGTAAATGTTTAGAACTGATTATAAGTGAAACAGCACAGCTGAAATGACAATCTATTTGGGCTCCTAGAAGAGGAATTGTGGCTGTTCTGTTCAACCAGAAACATTATAATTGACACTGTATCAGTCCTTTTAGGGGCGACTGTTTGTGCTTGCTGTAAGAGGGAGTAACGTTAGCTTTGCCACCCTAACAAATGCTAAAATTTTCCAAATGACTCATGCAAGAAACAAGATGTCTTTTTTACCAATTATTGCAGTGTTTTAAAGAACAGTCCTTAGGTTTTGCTATTTTTTCCAGCATCATTGCCCTAACCCCAAATTACAACACATATATTTCCTTAGAAAATACTTAATTCCCCTTTTCACATTTATTATGAGAACTCTGTGCTTCCAATAGAGGCCTTCAATTTGGGGGGCAAAAGCTTGCTTCGAAGAGGTTCACAAAGGAGAAGAACAACAGAAAATCCCAGCCTGCTGTCAAGCGTGTTGTCTTACACTCAAATTTAGGCTGTAACTGAGGAATTATTTTAGAAAGTTTCATTTGGGAGACAAAGTTGAAACCCACTAATGTCTAAACTACATTAATGGCAGGCACAGGCTTAGGAGCAGATCATCCCCCCCATTAGAGAAATCGGTTACCACCAACTATTAAAAAAAATGCTTCCATGGCATCCTCAATGTAAAATACATTGGAAAATTCCCAACTTCTAATCGTATCACAGAATGATATGGGGTTGGAAGGGACCTCTGGAGACCATCCAGTCCAACCCCCTGCCAGAGCAGGTCCACCAAGAGCAGGTCCCACAGGAATGTGTCCAGGAGGGGTTTGAATGTCTCCAGAGAAGGAGACTCCACCACCTCTCTGGGCAGCCTCTTCCAGGGCTCCTCCACCCTCACAGCAAAGAAGTTCCTCCTCATGTTTAGATGGAACTTCCTCTGTTCACGTTTGTGCCCGTTTCCTCTTGTCCTGTCCCTGGGCACCACTGAAAACAGACTGGCCCCATCCTCCTGACACCCACCCTTGAAGTATTTATAGGTGTTGATCAGACGACTTCCCTTGGCCTGCTGGCCATGCTCTTCCTGATGCACCCCAAGACACCTCAGAACGCTATCCCAAAACTCTCTGATCCCACAGGTCTAACCACAGACCTTATTGGAATATCTTCTAAGCAGTTTCCAAGAGCTATGCAAGGAACACAGGAAATAGGATTTTTTGTTGCTTAACCATTTATCATCTAATCCCTTATCATTTCCCGTGCTTTCCCTTCCTATAAAAGGCACAAACCCACAGCAAGTGGTAACTTTTGAACTTTCCTTAACTCTATTATACCTGCGTAAGAAAGTATATTTTGCACTCACCTGGGTTAAAAATCCTGAATTAACATGACATTACTTTTGCCCTACATGAGGAGATTTTTCCTCTTAGTTACACTGGCCATACAAAGAATAGAGAACATACTGTTAGTAATACCTAAAGCTTCCATTACACATCCAGTTCAAGTCTCATTCTGTGAGGCTTTCTATAAACATGAGCTTTGGTTGCTACACGTCTCTGTTAACAAGCCAACAACGTCCCCAGGCACAGAGCTAATCGAGCAAGCCTTACCTCTCGCTTCATCCTTTAATCTCTGTACAGACACTAGCAACGACTCCTTGTCATCCAGTTCACTTTCTAAAAAGGCATTTCTCTCAATAGCCTGGTTCAGCCTTTGTTCAAAGTCTTCCAATGAAACTATTGTTGCCCTAGAAACAAAATCCAGAATATTAGGTTCTTCAGCTCGGCCAACATAAAAGCACATTCAAAAACATAAGAGGAAAAATGCTAGCAGGGTCTATATTCATTTGAAAGCTATGGAAATGCATCTTAGAAAGGACTAATAGATTCCAAATAAACAGGGGAATAAGATGAAAAGAACAAGATAGCATCTGGCTCTCGGAGATGTACCAAAGAGCCGGGAAAGAGCCAATCCAGCTCAATCATCCCCGTTCTTCCCAAGCCATGCTCCAAAGCCATGCCGGGAAAGAGCCAATCCAGCTCAATCATCTCCGTTCTTCCCAAGCCATGCTGGTATTTAACCAGTACGCTGGCTCAGGCGGTGCCGTGCCCCCCAGAGCAGCCCAGTGAGGCAGAAAGCAGGGCACTGGGATATTACCTAAGACCCAATTTGTTCCATGATTTCACTGGGATAATTCATGTGTGTCAAAAGTTAGTCATGGGGTTAAGAGCCATGTGGAAACAGGGCCTCAGCTCTCAGATCTCTCTGCCAGACAGCCAGAGGCTCATTCCTGCTCCCGCTGAATCAACGGCAGGATTCCCATTCAGCAGAACGGAAGCATGACCTATTCCTAAACCGGGCGTTTCTACCAGCAGCCTGTTCATTTTATGTACTTATACAGGACACATTCATTCCCTACAGTCATTAAGCTGTAATGCAAGGGAAGAAGAGACTCCTTTGGCCTGTTCTATTTAAAAGGGACTTTGTGAAGCATTTGCTTCTTACTTCAAAGGGGCTTTGAGCCACAAGGATCCCAAATACAAGAGTCACCACAAGAGCTGGGAGTATCAGAAGCAGCGCTCTGGTCTAGCTCACTCTGAGCCTGCCTGCACGGCTTGTTTCTCCCAGGAACACGAGGCCCTTCATCCCCCTGCCTTTCTTGCTGTAACATGTCGCTGCCAGCTAACAGAGGTGAACTCCAAGGGTAAACCACACAGTTTGAAGAATCAAGGATCTTGGGGTTTGTTTGGATTTCTTTCAGTGTGAATTATCTTCCCTTTTCAAGAACACTAAAATGATTGATCTGAGTAGGAAAGAAAAGATCTAGTGAAAACTTGAAGGAAAGAAGAGGTCTGCAGCCTTCACCTCTTTGCACGTTCCAAGTCATCGTTGGCCTGCTCCAGCTCCCTCACGTACTTATGCAGCTGATCTTTAACAGCCCGTGTCTGGCTCAGGTCATCCTCTAACAGCGACACTTGCTTGTAACTTTGTGCATACTGGTGCTCCAGTTTCTCCTGAAAGAAAGGAATAGCGAGATAAATATCAGTCGTGTACACTCTCCAAGTCATCAGTAGTAAAACAGGACAAAGAAAGTAGTAAGATACTGGCTGCAGTCTGCTGTGGGATTGCTGGTAATAAAGAGCAAAAACTGGAGAAGTAAAAGGAACAGGTGCTGGACACAGTATAAAATCACAAACGCTGCATTGTGAGCAGACATCTCGCCATGGCACAGCTGCCTGCTCAGAGATGCATCCCTGCATCTGTTCCCAACAGCTGCTCTGAAGCCTCAAACACCAAGGAAGCCAGAGAGAAACCCTGCACAACCTCCCCGGCAGTGCCTCTCCCTCCACAACAGCCACGCTGTTCCCAGAGCTTGTCCCACATCTCCAGCAGCAAAAATGAGAGCCACCCAAGTCTGTTACAAAACCTCCGGGTTCACAAGCTCCTCTTGGAAAGACTGGAAGAATTCACTCCCAAACACACTCTCAGCAGCTCTTCAGTAAGTTTCCAACCTTTGCCTTCACTAAAATAACCTAAAACTATCAAAACTTATGCTTTTCCAAGATTCCAGAAGAGGCAAGAACTTATTAACACAGACTCATCAAGTAAAAGCCACCTTTTGCACATGCAGCTCCTTATGCAATTCCTGTGTCCGCAGATACAGCTGTTACAGAAGAATCAAGAGATTCTCTCTGAAAGATGCACACAAATCTTCAGCTTTCTTTAAGGTCCCATAGAACCAAGGAGACCTTCTAAGCAAAAAAAGTGGTATGCAAAGAAGGATGGCAACAGAGTGTTCTGGGAAAACATACTGATGTTGTCCAGCCTGTTGCTATGCTGGTGTTGCCTGTGTAACTAATAAAGCTACTACTTGGCAAAGCCCAGAGAATTTAAACAAACGAGCACAAACTCCATGACAAGAGTTTCATGATGTGAACAAGAAAAATTCTGACAGAAATTTCCATGGGAAGTTGCTGGCCTTATTTGGAGCACATGCCATACTCAAATCCAGATCTTAAACAGACAACTCCTTTACTTCATTTAGATATTCAGTGACCAAGAACAGACCAGACAATGTAAAATGAGATCCAAGACACATCTGTAAGAAGAGGCGATGCTACTACAGAAAAGACCTACCTTTAATGTCTCCACTTCATACTTCAGTCTTTGGTTATCTGCCTGCAAATCTCTGTTCCTCTGCTCAGCTTGCACTAGCTGTGCCTCCAACTCAGCTTCTAATTCTCTGCTTCCCTCCTGAAATTCAGCCAGCTCTTCACGAGCTTCCTGGAAACTGTAAGGAAAGGATTTAATCAGTTGAAAATTCAGCATCTCCCAAGTTAAAACAAAATCCACAGCTCCTTTAAAGTAATAAGCTAGAAAAACAAGAGTTTGGAAGTGTTTAAATTTCATCCACAGACCCCTAATGGAAAAAAAGAAAATAGGAAACTGGAGAAATTACATCATTACGCTTAGCTATGAAAGGAAATTAATTCTCTTACATCAAACAGCTACTCTAAATGCATGTGTGATACAAACTTGTATCAAAGCTATTTACAGGATTCACAGGAGTCTGACAACCACTTTGTACTCCATTAGATTTCACTGCTAGGAGCAGAGAGTCAATGAATTAAATAAACGTTTAACCTGGTCTTGGTTAAAAAAAAGGTAAGAGAGAACAACAGCGCCTGGATCTCTGCACTAGCTGGAAATTTAAGGTCCTCAAAAAGCGTGACTGTTTGAACGTTGGGGTTATTGAGCACTGCGGCAGGAAGGCAGCACACACCTACCTTATATTACTGCAAGTTATTAAATACCAGAAGCAGCCACTCCACATACTTTGCTTATTAAATTTGCATCTTTACCATAGGTAATGGCTCAGGTCTCAGCAAGCAGCAGAGAAAACTAACAAGGTTTTAGGAAACAACATATCCACTGGTGTTCCAGAATGAGAATTTTCTGACAGCCCAAACCACCTCAGTTTTCTCCATGTGAACAGGCCCCTCCACAAGCCCAACCCCCCCCAAGAAACACACCAAAACCAACCGAACAAGTGACTTGCACCTTGGGCTCTTCTGTCTTGAGAGAGCTTTAAATGTCTTCCTTTCAATTGCATGTGACTAATACTGAATGCAAGGAAATCTTTCCCAGGAAAATAAAGTGTGAGCCTCCAATGCCCCCCACTCCAGAAAACCCCCAAAGAAACTCCACCCCAAGAAGCATAGCATTACTCAAGAAGACAACCTCTCTTGTCGTTTTTGGTAACCAAAAGCCCTGTGCCCCATAAAAGATGCGAACCACTGGTACAGGCTGGACTATGAGGTACAACATACTTCAATAAATTGCAGCAGACATCAAATCAGCCACTTTTCATACCAGTAATTCAACTACAAGGAGCTCGAGGGAACAGTAACGATACCAGGCAAGCCCAAAGGTGCCGCCTTATGATAAAACGTCAAGATACTACTTAAGGCAGCACTTTAATTATACAAAGATGCACATGATCGCAAAAGGGCTCTGCTCTTGCTCAGACATGCTCGAAACATAGCCTGGAGTTTGTGGCACAGTAACGCTGTGCAAGAAACACTTCGCTCCCACAAGGCTGGAAGTTTTAAAGCTTGATTTAAAGCTGGAAACGCAAAGATTCTTTCTAATGTCTCTGATACCCATCTTGGCATAGCCTTGCAGAGAAACAGATTAAACAACAATTCTGGTCATTAAGAACAAAATACAGCCTGCAATCTCCATCGTACCTTTGTTTATACTTCAAGGAAAGCTCTTTCCAATACGCAGTTTCCTCCTTTGGACTCGAAAAAGTTGGGATTTCTTCACTGTCCATGATCAATACGACCTGCAGGATACAAACACAAGAATACCCTCAGGATAAACAGACAGGTAGATGCCCCCAAAACTACTGCCGAGTACTGGGCTTCGAGGGCACAGCCTTCCTGACTGCAGCCTCCAGGCTTGGCACCCGCACGCAGGATGTTAACGATCCCTAACGAGCATCATTCAGCACAGAGACCTGCCGCAACAAGCAATGTAATTTCATCCAGCTTCTGGAAAGGCTCCTGCAGCTGCCTGACATGAGACAAGAAACGTTGCCTGTATTTTGTACCTGCCACTGAAAGAGTAGCTAAGGCCACAAAGCCCCCTTAGGATCATAGCTAGTAAAGATATTAAAATCTAGAGCTATCAGAGTTTCCACTTTCTTTTGCAAAATGTTCTTAAAGAGATTTTGCCTCCTGTCGCCAACACAGCGAGCTACAATACGACTCCTATTAGAGCTGCATGTAACAAACAAGGACAAACACCCTGAGGTCAACCACTAACACGCTGTGCTGCAGAGATTATAATTCAATTTACTCTTCCTGTGTTGAATCCCAGCTAATTCCTGAGTTTGGGTAAAACGTGCAGGTACCAGAAGTTACCCATGTAGTTTTGCTCCCTTTGTCCTCTCAAACAGACACAAGATCAGCCTCTCATAAAATCACGTGGTCACGCCATGCAGTGGTGCTTCTAGCCTGGAGGGGTTCAGAAGACCAGCTTCCCACACCAAAGGGGACCCTGCTCTCTGGATGATGACCTCCTTTCTTCAGCTGCATGGACCACTGGATGCCAGGTGCATCATTGCTCGGCTCATAGCCAGTGTAAGGAACGCAACCCAACATGTGCTTTTTATACTGCTGCTCAGTAATGGAGGAACACACAGTCCAGACACAAGACATTTGAAGCCTCAACACACACCAGGTCTCTGAAGGTGGTGAGGGGTGGTTGTGGTCCTGCAGGACCTAAAGCAGCGTTCAGATGGCCACGGTTCCCAACCACTGCCAGGAGATGCACTGGTTACCCTTTCTGAGCTCTCTCCAAGCAATGCCCCAACTCTCTTACAGGCATTATTTTTTTTCTCCTCAAAAGCCAAGAATCAAATTCTGTTATTAACATCCAGAAAGGAATAAGCTGAAATCACCCTCTTCTGTTTAAAGCAGAGGTTTTAGACAATGCTTGCATCAAGCTCATCAATCAGTAATAGCTGACCTAGAAGTCCTGACTTTCACACTCTAACAGGCATCAACAGCCAACACTGTCCCTTCAGGCCTAAAATTGTCACACTAATACGTCCTGCATCTCAGTGACCCATATTTTAGACACCTAAAAGTAGGACAAAACAATCCCATGCTTTCATCAGACACACAGACAGGCACGTTTCAGAGACTGGCACTTATCTCACAAATACAGTCAGGCACATCGGGCACATTTGTTCTTCAGCTGAGACTTGCAGATGCCACAGTCCAAGGGTAGGAGATCAAATCTATCCAGAGGGTGCTCAAAACCACCCCAACTCTTACACTGTGTTTATTTAACTTTACAGCTTTATTGGAGAAGTGAATTTGTCATTAATCAGATCTCCATGCTGCCCACGAGAACGGCTGGTGTTTCATTTTCTGCCTTGCTCTGTACCGAGAAAATAAAACATACAAGCGGAGCCATTATAATTCCCCCAACACGTATTTTTTTCAGTCCTGCTGTACCTCTCCAGATAAAAATTTCTTTGGGTATACTTGCTTCAGTAGTCGCGCCTGTTACCAAGGCTGCTTAATCACAACTTGGGGACAAATCCTAAATCCTATGCAAAAGACTGTTTACAGCAGAGGTAGAGCCCATGAATCACCTCCCAAACTGCCGTGGTTTGGCAGGCGGGTGCCTGAAGGTGAGCAGACACCTGCTGTGGCTCGGGCACGCGTCAGCCAGCTCCTGAGCCACCAGTCAAACTGCCAGGAGGAGGAAGAGGTGACCAGCTTGGCTCGGCTGCTGCTGCGTGCTGTTGGTAACATCAGGCCCACACTGACTGCCGGAAAAGCCTTCCGACCTTTCCCTCTAAGGCACTCAGCTCTAAACCAACGTGCTCTGAGAGGCTCCGATCAGCAAGAAGCACGTTTTTTCCCCCAAATGAGTGAGGTGTAGCACAGAACAGGGGCAGCTCCCACAGCTCCAGAGGAGCTGATCGCAAAAGGTAACCAGCCAGGAAGCCAGCCGTCAGCAAAATTCAGGATGCATTTAGAGAAAGCTTTGTGCAGGGAGGCAGATTACATCATTTCCTAGAAGCAGCTGAGATAAGGTACGTCTGGGCCCACGACTCCTTCCTGTCTGCTCTCCTGGGGCACAGCCTGGGAAACCAACACCCCCGGAGCCCCTGCACACACAGCGGTCCATGCGAGAACCGCCTGGGACCACAAGTACTTACAGAGTCACCAACTGCCCACACAGGAGATTTTTTAATGTTTTTCCCCAACTCCCTCGTCAAAAGACCCTTTCCTTCGAGACACCAGACTGGGAAGAATCAGCCCTGTGGTACTTCAGGCTCCTCAGCAGCAGCTCTTCCTTCCCAAAGGGACCCCGCGGTACAAAACTGACTTTTCCCAGGCTACCATCCCTTTCCTGCCTTGGTTAAGCAGGTGATAATTCATGATTATCCATCATGGGTATCAGCACGGATTTTTGACCTGATAACTACACTGCATGAACACCTCCATCAGATCCTGATGCCAGCGTGCACTGTTAAGCTCTGACATCCATATCCCAGTTCCTGTACACAGTTACATCTCTTGTCTTCCCTCGCACGCGTGGGGGACAAGAGAAAGAGACAATAGGACATAGAGACACTCTGCAAACAAGGTGGTTCAGGGCCAAAATCCTGGTCTGAGAGCTGGGAGATGCAATCAGCTCCCAAACCTGCCACCAGCACACACGTGGGCTTGAGTAAATCACTCGACTTCTGCCAGCCTTTGCCCATTCCCTCTATTTATGGCATAGAAACAGAGACCTGTCTAAGCACATGTATATGCCTGGCAGAAATCAGCTCCTAGGCATTATCAGGACATAACTCGACAATTTTAAACATCTCACGTGTGGGAGAGCGGGTGCCCACGGAATACTAAGAGTTTAACAAAAACTGCTTTGCTTCAGGCTGTTGTCCCGGCTCCGGGCATTATGTGAGGAGCTGAGAACCGGCACAGTGAGCCCTTCCTATTCACCATCTCCTTTGCATACACGGCATTTGGAGAATCAAGCCTTTGAGAAACAACACTGGGGCTTTCAGAACACAGACAAGACAATGCAGCAGCGTCTTCCAGGGAAAATGAGAGCAGGCTTATGCTGCTGCCCACTCGGAATTCATTACAACACAGCTTTGCATTCACACAGCACCCTGGGAAAAACTCAGCTCCGCGGGCATAACTCCAGGATCCGAAGCAGCTGTCAAACAAGAACGACGTTCAAAACACGGTGGGCTCCTTTCAAGCCCCCCATTACACAGTCAGCAGGACAGAGTAACCCTCCACTGTTAAAATGGAACAGCTTTTCCACGCTTTGATCACTCTAGAAAACTGCAGCTTGTAAGTTAAGAACTTCTCCCAACCCAGGGGGTTTTGTACAGGACAAATCTGGTTTCCCACCTCCAAAAGCATCCTTACAAGTGAGATGCTCAGTATCCTCCGGACATAACAAGAGCCAAAGGCTGAATCCACCATGCAGCAGAAGTAACTAAACTAACATGCAGACAGTATTTTTCAAGTACCTTAAAGAACCTTGCATTCAAGGCCAAACCAATATCTTTACGGAGCCTCCTTTCAGCTAAGTAATGAAAACACAAACACAGCTTGAAGCGTAACACAGTACCTTAAAAAAAGTTTCCTGGGCTTCCCATGTGACTGGAGGCTGCTGCGAGGGTTTAGATCAAATATCAGACCAAAACACTAAGCCTGAAATATAACACGGTGCTCCAGCTCCTTCCCACAGTTGGGAATCCACTCCTCCCCGCTCTCAAAGTCAACTCAATTCACTGACGCATCGCGGGAAGGATGAGCTACAGACACATGTCCAAAATGATTCCCAGTCCTGCTCGGAGGCAGCTGCAATTCACCCAGGACGTACCTGCAGCATCTCAAGTGGCTGCATAAACCATTCTTCCTGATTTTAATCAACCCACATTCTCCCCATTTAAAACTAGCTTATAAATATTTGCCCTATGAAGTGAACCAATACTGTTTTGTGTTCATGAAGCAGGTCATTTTTCTGCATGCAGGCCACGGCTTTCTTCCTCACAGTCCTGTTTGCCCAGCATTTTTAGGCAGCAAACGCAAAGAACTTAAGCAGAGGCAAAGCAAGGCCACTGGAGTGTGACCAGACACAGAGCTAAGACTCCCCCATCCACACTTTGCTGCCCCCCCCCACCATAGGCAATGCAAACGTCCACTGACCTTTGGAATTAAACAAGCAACCACCTAAAATAGGACTCGATCGAGAAATTCTGCCAAGCTGGCACATCTGGCCTGCAGTTCTCAAGATAACAACCCATTCTGGCTATCAGAGGCCCCAAAACTGCCAAGTGCCACGTAATTGCCGCAGTCACCCCCTTCTTGCAGGGGATGACTCTGTCACCGAGTGCTGGCACCAGCCAGAGCTGCCACAAAGAGCAGGAAGGACCATCAGCAACCAGGTCTTCTTCCTCTTCCCATTTTATGCTGATTCACAGACAGAAAAGCAGAAGGAACCCTGTTTCCACCATTCCTCACCTTCTCAAACCACAAGAACCAACAGGTAACCCCCCCCAAGCCCCTGAAGCTCTGGATTTTTTCTCAAAACCCAATCAAGATTCAATGCAAAGGAACCCGAGTGCTCCAGTCAATAACCAAAGCAAATTTGCATTGTCTTTCACTTATTAGAATATGGAAAACAAACAGAAGTCATGGATTAGATTTCACCAATCAATTTGTGCTTGTTTTTCTCATCCTAAAATAGAAGCTGGAGGCATTTTCATATGCGTTTTGGAAGGCTGCCTGCGTCCATCGCTGCGTCGGAAAGTGAACCGCTGTCTTTTCCTGCAATACTGTTTTTGAACTGAATGTTCTCTGGTGAACCACAACAAATGACTCCTTGCCTCTTGCAACAGCAGCATGTGAGCATCCAGCAAAAAAGAAAGTCACAGAGCACAGCGTCAGCACAACACACCTTCCTCTGCCGTAATAATAAATCCTGCATTTCCAATTTGGAGAGCACAGGAGGCAGCAGATAACCAAAGCAGGTTCAGGCTAAAAGCCTTTAAGAGAACCAAACAACATACAGTAAAGTCTTGTTATCTCAACAGCCTTCTCTGCCTCGTGAGCCTTATTAATCAAATAAACCAGGTAGGCTTCACACCACCCAGCCAAGACTCCCACACCTTGTGAATACATGATATCCAGTGGGGCAAAAACCCCATTGATGCCAGCACTGGGACGGAAGCCTTGAAACCAGAAGGAAGGTACCGATGGCAAGAAGCTTCTTTTCAGAAATCAAGCTACATTCAAAAAGTATCAGAATTCAGTTTTAAAAAACATTTATCCCTTTTACAAACACAGGAAGTTTAAGATAATCTGGTCTCTATTTGTTCCTAAGTAACACCACCGAAGCACTTTCAAAAGCAAAATCAGAAGAGGTTGGTGCTCCTGATGCAGGTTCAGTATCTGCAGAAATGAAGGAGAAGCCCCTGAAGACAACCTGGGCCTGACCATGAGAACAATTTGCTCCCAGCTCCATACTCAGGAATCCCAGAGGGACGCATCCCCATGGAGGATAAGGGTGTGGAGGAAACAGCAAACCAAGAAGGAAATTCAGTCTGTGAAAAGGATACGCTTCTCCCTGCCTCCATCTCCGCTCTCTGCAAAGCCACCTCTTTGGTAAGTCCGTGAGAAATGATGAGCACCAGGAGCACCGATCCTGACCCTACACCCCAGGCTGACAGCAGGCAGCAGCCACCCTCTGCCTGCAAACCCCCACCCACCGCTGGAGGTTTTCCATCCCACTTGCATCTCCTCCAACTCCCAGTTGCCCAGTGTCTCTTTAAACCTTGAAAAATTACAGAGCATCCTATCCAGAAGCAACCGCTTTACCTGAGAGCTTATGACACGCAGAGCAAAAAGCTTGTGACAAATGACAGCACACAGATCCCTTGGGCCTCCCTATTAACTCAGCAATTAAAACCATCCCGATGATGACATTCCCTGGAAAGGCGGTGGCCAGAGGGCTGAGATGCTTCTGGACACTGCAGAATGATGAGCGACCAAGAAACTTAAAAGGAAAAGCACTTGGCACAGGTTTCTTCCAAGAGGAGTGAATTGTGTTGCTCTGTGCATCTCTAAAGTTCTACCGGTGCCAGGGAGGGGCAATGTTTTTCAAAAATACTACCCGAAAGCTAGTCACAGTCCAGCCACCGACAGGGAGGGCCTAAGGACTCTTCAGTAAGCACTTAACAAGATGAGAGTTAAAAATAAACCCCCAAGCTCCACGTTGATCAGGAGAGTGAAGAAGTACAATCTGCTACTGCACTGTATTGACCCCTTCAGGGACACAAGAAAAATTAAGAAAAATATACTTTGATGGGTATGTCTCATTTTGCCCATGGAGGAGTGCAGGGCAGTAGTGAAAAGACAGTTAAGTTTCCTTCAACACGCTTCACAGTTTATCTTGATTATGTTTGTGCTGTCACAGACATCAAGGGCTGTAAAAAAGGCCAATTCCTTTCTGTAGTCTGACTTCTCAAACCTAACTGGAATAGACTGAGGGAATAAATAGTAGAGAGTCAGAGGAAAAAAAATAGGGGCTTTACCCCGAAGAGGGGGGAAGGAAATTAAATCACTCTGCCTTTTAACACATACCTTCACCTTTGTAGCTCCCCATGACATGCAGGATCAAATCTTTGCAAGTGGAAACGGAAAGGAGAATGCCTGAGCCATGCCTGGCTCCACGTATACAACATAAATATACAGCCCAGCCAGGTCTAGGTCTGTAAGCAAGACAGAAGATCTCTGCCAGGGCAAACCTAACACTATTAATCCAAAAAATGAACTACTTACCCACACTTGCCATATCTTAAATTACCGCGGTTAACTGGTACCATCCCCCAGCATGCTTGTGCAGTCAAATTGCTGGCACATCAAATTTAAATATAAGTTAAAAAAAAAATCTAAAAGCCTCCTAGTCACTTTTTTGCCCTGTGACAGCTCCTTTCTCTTAGTTGCTAATACCTCTGACAAAACACTGACCTTGACAAGGCCACCTACCCTCTGTGGGGTCCAGGAATTTT